TTAATTTCTCTAAATTCTATTTCTCTTCCAGTGAAATTCAGACTGTTCCATTCAGAACAAAATACTTCGTTAAGAGTTTAAGACAGACTCACAAATCTGGGGCTATGAAAAATTTGAACCACTGGGGAAAACAACGCTATTTGCCCTTCCCAAAACCACCCCGATTTTTATAATTTATTTACAGACTAAAGTTGACCGGTTATTTTTATACACCCTCAAACTCCACTTTAACTACATGTTTAACTCTTCAATCTTCCTAATTACCGTATTCCAAAATAGTTGCCCTTGAAGTTGTTAATCGAGGTGTATTGTAGTTTGAGCGTTGGAATAGTTTGTGTAGAGATCGTTCATGTGACTCATCATGTTTCATAAATAATGTGAACTGCTGTTTAAGAAAATTATAAGGAAACTATTGTTAAATGTCAAATTCAGTGAAGAAATTCGTGAACAAGTCAGATCAGCCTCACGTTTTTTGGTCTATAAGGATCTTTACCTAGATGATTTTATTACGTTTAACCTAGCTGAGGGATAGGACTAAAGGTTTCTCATTGGTAGAGTTAAGGTGGTGGTTAGTCAAAATCAGAGGAGATCTGCTTTATCCCACTTATGCACTTTTTCGGGCTAAAGGAAATGTAATTTGTTCATTTTGCAATGATCGATGCAATATCGCATTATGCAACAAAAAAACAGTTTGTTTTAAGTATTCAGGTGTGTAATTCTGCAGGAAAAATGACACAAATGTAGGTGGACTCTCAGCTGCTAGGCAGCACTGTTACTTTTGAATTGGCGGGGATGTACTGTTACCATTCACGAAAAGTTGCAGATCATATTCTGTGTCCAGCTTTAATTATCGGTGCATGAAATATCTGTAAAATTGACTTTTTCATCACGTGACAAACTGAGTCTAAATTTGTTGACAATCAACAAGAAGGAACCTGCCATCAGTAATGGTAAGAAAGTCCGTCAGTTTTCAAATTCCACCACTTTAGCAATTACTTTGGGTCAAAATATTATGGATATTGGATCTTCTCGTTGCACTTTGATATCGGGTAATGAGAAGAAAAGTATGACCTACAGTGCTGATAGTTATGGCTCTTCAGATTTCACTTACAAATCTGGGAAGCGTGAATGCTCAGCTTCAAAGCTGCAGGTGAAAAAGGTACAGAAAATCAAAATAGTGAATTACCACAATTATATTTTATGCGAAAAAAGGCTTCAATGTCCTTATTTGAATCTAACATTCCTAGTTCTTATGCTGCGTTTTCTCTTCATTGTATGAACAAAGTAGTGCTAATTTTAAAATTATTTTATTTTTTAATGTGAGAAGAATTGACCACCTTTTCACTCTCGCACACTCAAGGTATTTATGAAAAAAGCAAATTCATTGGTTACTTTCAAACTTGCAAACTTATATTAATTCACATTATGAAAAACAATTGTTTAATCATTTGTACAAATAAATTTTTCGTCATGTGAAATTAATATAGTCCGTGATGATGACCAAAACATCAGTCGAAAGCTTGGTAGTAAGAAGTGAATTTGCTTTCTTCTTCAAAATATACCATGATCTAGAGTGTTCGTGAATTATTTTAATTTCAGTTATTTTATTTTAATAATTATAATACTGTTTTTTCATAAGTTTTTAACAATGTTGTCTTTTAACTATGGCTTCAACGATTTTTTAATGTTTTAATTACATTATTTTTCATAATCGATAAAGCATATACACATTATTTCAATAATTAATTTTGTAGTTTAAATAACCAAATAGCCTGACTTCAGGAGGAAGGACATTTAGGATAAACATAATCTTAATAAAACTTACTACAGGGGTATTTATGCTCGTTTAGAGCCAATGTATGCAAGAAAAGTGTCACAACAAAAAAAGGGGTAGTTTTTTTAGGGGTAGTACTAAAAAAACAACTAAACTTCCATCTATCTCTCGTATATGCACGTGCATGTGCACATCTTATGTAGGTTGTTGTATTTATATATGCAGTTGAAAAATGAAAAAACAAAAATAAGTAAAAAATCTGGAGGCTGTTTTCTGGAATGATTGAATCCTCCTCACATGTAAGGTCAGATAAAAGTCAATATTGCCACAAACTCAACTATGTTTTTCAAATTCATTGATGAAGCAGAATTTTCCCTTGTTTTTCTTTTTTTTAACTTCACGGTAACGTTTTCGTTCTAGTTGGTACATTTTTTTCAACATAAATGCCTGTTAAGCACAATTTCGTCACACAACACGTCAATACCGTTTTGTTTTCCGGAGAATCGGTTGTAAAATCTATTCAGACATGTATTTTTGTATTAATATTGTTGCTTAACATCATATATTTATTATCTAAATATTATTTTTAAAATCAAGAATACAATAAAACGAAACAAAAGAATCAAAATTTGTGATATATAAAGCACAAATAATTCTTTTTACTGTGTTTTTATTTTCTTACTCATTTACATCTTTTTTATGAAAACACAAAATGTGAGTATAAAAATGTAAAATAAAAACCTTCTCTTGGCAAAGTTCGAATATCAGATACGCCAGACCTATAGAAATGTTTAAATCAAAGGGCTATAGAACTGTCGTGTAAAATTAAAAATGATCAATATTCTGGGGATAAAAACGCCCTGATGTTACAGCCACCCCCTAGGTTCATCAGGTTACACAAAGAAAGGCGAGACAGCACAGTTTATTGCAAAAAATATATGTCTAAATTTATTGGTGAAAATTAAACAGTATCACACTTCACCTACTAAAATGTGATCAACTGTTAACGAAATATTCACTTATTTGTTTAATTGTATACATCGAAACATAATATTTAATGCAGACCAGTTATCGACTATATTTTATATTTTTAAAAGTTTTAAAATTATTGTAATCAATATGTTTACTCTACAATAAAATATCTCTTGGGGAAAACTTTGTCCTTTTTCGTCCGTCACATTTCCTCTTAGAGCCATTGACTTTCACGTTTTTGTCGGATTTCCAACGTTTGTTGTTTAGAGCTGCATGAATGGGTCCCATTGCACGGTAGTTTGTAGAAAAGCATTTTAACGGCCCAAAATCTACGAATTCCGAACGTTTTTGCCGAAGGAGAGAACGTACTCTCATTGTTCCAACCCCTCCAAGCATTTACAACACCGGTTGCTGTCGGGATAATCCAATTGAAAATCTTCATTTTGTATTATTTAACAAATTTACGATCCACATTCCAATTATGACACGAAAATATGAATGATTCCTTCGGAGCCCCGTAAATATTTCCTGTCCTAATTCAAAATTCCTATCTTTCCCGATCGATGAAGTTTAAAGACAAATAAGTTCGGTTCTTACTTCTGAGATCAATGGATCAATTTGTCAAGTTCTTCTTCCCCTTGTTCTACTTTAAGCCAATTATTTCTTATTCCCTTTAACCTCTCTCTCTCCCTCACCCTCTCTCTTTTAATTTATCTACTGCTTAAAACTTTTTTTAGCAGTTCTAAAGGAGGATAAATTTATTCCTCTCTTTTAGCCTTTGAAGTTGCTGAGATAAGACATTATGAATGTGTGAGGATACTTTATCATTGTACTTGTGTAAAATACAGATTTACATACGCCCAAATCTGTGTTCATCCTCCCTCGCGTGTACAGAGTTGACCTATCACCTGCCGCAGTCCACCGGCAATTCCATTTTGCAATTTAAAATAAATTACCCGCAGGCCTCGAGAATTCCTAGTGTTGTTTGAATAAAATGTTATCCAAGACGGATTTAATATAACATTAATTAACCACAAAATACTTACTATGAATATCTAAATATTAACATCATCAAGTTTCCTATTATTATTTGTAATTTTACTTTACTACGAGGTAACTTGAAACTATGATGTTATGGAAACTATACATTTATTGGTCAAGCTTTAGTAATATTTGAGAAGAGATACCTTAACATTTTGTTTGTTTTATTTAATTATTTAGCAAGGAATTCGGCTAATAATATGGCTATTTTCATGAATGAAATTCTATCTTACAATGTATTTTTATGTCATATAATAAGCATTCGTTAACATCATGTTACTTCTTTTTTTCTCTCTCAATCAATTTTTTTATTCAGCAAGGCATCGTAATAACCCTGTTTCATCATTTTTCAAATGACCTATGTAAATATTTAATTGCTAAAAACCCACGTTTTTTACAAGTTTGTACTATACCTCCCTAATTAACGTTAAACATTGTAAAAAAACCTACACTACTTAATTACATGACAAAATATAAAAATATTATTTAAATTAATTAATCAAATCGGAGCAAAAACAAATTGAGCAAAGGCACCAAGATGAATATTTGAGTAGCCAAAACCAAGTGGTCACCTCATTTATTAAACTTACCGTGCTTCCACAGGGAACCTCGGATTTATTATTATAATTTTATTCAAAATTGAAGTTAATTTTGGGTGGGCGGCATGTTTTGAGAGCCTTCTTCCCGAAGAAAAAGGGCTTATCAGCGCTCCTTTGTTTGAATTNGAGAGAGAGAGAGAGAGAGAGAGGGAGAGAGGGAGAGAGATAAGAGCGAGAGAGATAGAGATAAGAGAGAGAGAGAGAGAGAGAGAGAGAGAGAGAGCGAGAGAGAGAGAGAGAGAGAGAGTGAGAGAGAGAGAAAACTGAAGTTTTATTTTTTGTCTACAAAATTGGAAAATACCGTCCTTCTTACAATTATGCACACAGCATTAAGTGAAAAAGTTTTCTCAGAGGTTTCATTATAAGTATCAATTATTTTTTATATACATTTAATTTTACTTCATAAACATGAATACTATCATTTTATAAATAATGGAATTTCTATTTTAAACCAAGTTCAATCATTTTCAGTTGTTGTCATTACTGTTTAGTAATTATTTCGCTCTTAATTTGGAGGGCGCCCTTCCCGAAGAAAAAGTTTTGCCATCGCGCCCTCTGTTTCAATTCGATTAATCAAAGCTGCCCCTCACTTCTTGTTTTAGTTGTTAAAACCGCATGGCCGCCCCGCCCAGTTTGGTCGAACGTCTTTCGCGCCGCGCACCGCGTGTAATTTTCTGACTTTTCCTTGTGCTTTTCCTCGCCCTTTTCTTGTCGAGTCTTTCTTTTTATTCGCTTTCACTCTATATTACGCCGAAAAAACGCGAGTGCCAGCCCTCCAACGTAGAAGAATCTCAGTCTGTCTGGAATCGCCGAACGGTGAGTTAACCTTATTTCCTTTAACCCCTTTCTTCATCGCTTATAATTCTTCTCTTTCTTTTTAATTCAACATTTACACAGTCCACTATATTAAATGGTCCTCCGTTCATGGATTTAGTTTTATTTATCTTCGGCATAATTAAGATTTGAACACCGTCGGTATTGCTCGTGCCTCGCGTATTCCTGAAAAGCTACTAGCCACGACATGCGTCTCGTTATTTTTTCCGTTTCGAAAGTTCGGCTAGTTAACACAATTTTTAAGTTTTATTAAATTTGGGACCGTCCTATCTTAAAGGTTATTTCAATTTGTTTGCGTTCTACGTGTCTTAAGGACTAATAATATTTAAAGATTTGCTAAGCAAAATAAGCTGCATTTATTATTTTGTATATACTCTACCGAAATTACAACGATAGACAATTACAACCACTTATTGTATATTTATATTTATATTGTATTTATATTTATATTTATAAATTTATAAATGCTTCTTTGGCAATTGGCTCAGAGAACAATCTGTTTCCCTTTCTGATAAAAGTTTTAAGTCCCTAGCCCTTCGAAAATCCAAACTTGTATTTTACACTTCGTAATCATTTAATTGCAGTACGGATTTATAATTAAACACCTTGATGAACTTTCCAATTCTGTACTGCCTGTCCAACATCTTTGTTATTTCTTTACTATACTTTTTTGTGTTCCGGGTCTTCCCTCTCTTTGCATACTAAATATAGTTCACTCCGTCTTTGCCATATTTTCTTCAAATATGTTCCACTTATTCCATGATTAGACCGGATGCTATTTATTGTAGTGCACACTTTTTTAGACATTGGAAAGTTAAAGAACCACTCCTGTTGATCGTCGGGTTTATATTCCCGTAAAATTTGCCAATGGAGTAGCAGTCGAGTTGCTTGTTCCACATGTCTTATACTTCCTTTTTCATAGTGCTTTTGAACTCCTTCACTGGTATGCCTTGCCACGCTGTCCACAAGCTCATTGCCTTGGACTACTCCATCCAACAGAAGGTTCGACTTGCCGCTTTAATAGCCTCTGGACTTCATACTTTTGGACACCAAATAGAAGCAACCTGACTGTAAGCTGAAACTTTTAATGCTCTCTACCGAGCTTTTTGAATCCGTCAAGATAAACACTTTCTTATCCTCAAATTTCCTCCTAATACGGCTTCCAATGCCGTTCGAATGCCGATTCCGCTGAGAAGATAATTCTTTATTCAGTTTGTATTTTCCATTCTCTTTTATCAGGACATCATACCAAGCGCATACTTCGCCACTCTGAGAACCATCGGTAAATATCACACATGAAAAAAGGCTCAAGGATCTATAGGCAGGTACCTCGTTCTAATCCCTTAAATATATGACCCTTCTTTTACAGTTTTAGACCGCGTAGTCCAAGGCGAATTTATTAAATTCCTTCAACTAACAAGGCTTTGACTTAACAATTTATGTTATATACCTACTGCTAGATAGTGAAAATGTCATTACCAAAATTAAATGCAGCTGTTCAAAAGAAGAAGAAATATTTCACTGGCACGCAAGCTGTTTACATTGCAAAGAAATTAAATCTTGACAAGTGGACACTTTTTTTGGGCTCAGTTGGACAAGATGAAATGTTTTTCTGGGTAAAGTTATCCCACATCAAAATTCTCCGTAAGATAAATCTGACCCTGAAGTTCAAACCTCTTCGATATCTCGTCATCATCCGAAAGCGTAGAAGGGGTTGTAACGTCAGACTGACTGTTTTCCACACTAATGTTTCGGCACTTAAGGCTTTGAATATTCCTGACTTAGCTGATTTTTTTCTTCTTCACACAGGGTTATGGTACTGAGGCCCAGCAAATAAGAAATTGAAACACAGAACGTACATCAGGAATTTCCAACCTTTAAAATTTTTATCGATTTTGTTCGTGGAGAACTATGATTTTAGAACGAAGTACGCCTCCTAAAACTTCTTCAAGCAATTCGAGACATCCACGCAGGACGGAATGACCACTCAGCAACAGTCCAAAGTTAACATTTGCAGTCAACGTCTTCTTCGAAGTATTGTTGCTCCTTTTGTTCTGGACCGCACAACCTATATCGGTGTCCTAGTTTGTTATCTAAGAAGCTCAAAGAACATTGGGAAAGTTTGAAGGGACTCAGAAAATGCTTTAATTGTTTGGGGATTCACCTATTACATGCTTGTAATTCTCAGAATCGATGCAATTGTTATGCTTGTAACAATCATCACTCTTGCTTGCACAGTTCGGCCTCACCTACCATCCCACAAACAACTTAAATTCCTCCCATCGTTTCCAGCCCCGCGGCCCAGCCATTAACGTGCCACGCACAATCTCGGGATACTCGTCCGTCGACGTGTTTCGTGGAACCGCCGAAGCCATGATTGCGGATGCTGATGGAAATATGCATCCAATTCGAATGATTATTGACCCAAGTTATCAAGAATCCTGTATTATTTCATTTTCAACATTTCATAAATTGGGGATAACCCGATTGCAAGTGTCAAAAAGTTGGTCTCCTGCATAATTGCACCACACCTGATGTCCCGAGACCTAATCATTCTCCAAGCGGTAGTTTTGCCGCCTCGAATTTCCTCTGACCATCTCTGACTACTTGTCCAATAAAGAGATCGTTTGGCATTTCAACCCTCCAGCTGCTCCAAATTTCGGTGGTCTTTGGGATAAGAGGCAGGGTTAAAGTCGGACAAGCGCTATATATTACGCGCGTTTGGAGATAGCTCTCTTACCCTCGGAGAGTTTAGTGCAGTCCGTCACTCGCATTGAGGCCATGTTATCTCAGTCCTGGACACTCTTAATCGGGGCTCCTTCTGAGATTGAGCTAACCAACAAAAACCAAATCGTTTAAATTGATAGTTACACTTGCAGCACGCTAATCAGAGATTCTGGAAGAGATATAGTCCAGTGAATATTCCACATTTTGATAAAACGCCCTAAATGGACCTCATGTTTATCTGAAAGAATTCCTTACTTTTTCCTTGGCCAATCAGAAGAGCCGAACGCCTTTTCCCAAGGGAGGACGGTTATTCTATTGGTGCAGATCCACATCTAGGGTTTTAACCTCCTCTACCCCATTAAAATCTAATGTACCCATGCTATCAGAGATTTTTTGAATGTTTGAATGTTAGTTAATGTTCCACTCAAGATTGATTTGCATTTATTTTTGTTTTCGTTGTGACATAATCGTACTGTCAAAACCAAGTGGTCACCTCATTTATTATTTTTTTTAACTTACCGTTGTTCCACGGGGAACCTCGGATTTATTAATATATTTTTATTCAAAATTGAAGTTAATTTTGGGTGGGCGGCATGTTTTATGTGCCTTCTTCCCGAATAAAAAGGGCTTATCAGCGCTCCTTTGTTTGAATTCGATTTATCAAAGCCTTCCGCTCAGCTATTGTTTTTTAAGTGTGGAAAACCACATGGCTGTTTTTTGAGTTAGTGAGAGAGAGAGAGAGAGAGAGAGAGAGAGAGAGAGAGAGTGAGAGAGAGTGTGTGTGTGAGAGAGAGAGCGAGTGAGAGAGAGTTAGGGAGACAAGAGCCACTCTTCTGGTAATCTATTGTAAAATTGAATAAATAGGTGTTATATGATAGACAACTATGTGATATACTTTGTTATACCAACATAAATTACAACACTGTCCGGGTTCGCAGAGTATATAAAAAACAGAGGCAAATTATTCTCCCACTATTTTAGGCCACACACCTGACATATGGGTACCTTCTCGTTGAAAAGAGATCCATGAGATATTGTTGGCGTCTGCGACTGAAACTTATTTTAGAAGGGTGTGAAAAAGAAATCTTATTTGATTTATATTTGTTAATATCCGATGCATTTAAATTACGCGAAAATTTATACAGTAATTTCATTTTTGTGGGATGAGAGTATTTTCGAAAGTATGTATATATAGGTATCAGTTTGAAATTCAATCGAGGGCAAACAGCGTATCAATCTTTTACATTGTTTCAATTATTGGCTTTTCATGCTGTGTGTAGAAGAAAACGTGCAATGGAAGAAAATGATTTGTTGTCATCGCCGATTTTCAAGTGTTTCACCTTGCTGGCGTTTATTTTTTTCCCTGGATTTATTTATTCAGAAATATATGTTGAATGTTGTTTTCCAGCGGATTCCATTTGTTCTAGTTTGTATTTTTCAGGATATGTATCTACTTTTAGTAATAATCGTAACTTCAGTTAAGACCCTTAGTATCGTTACTGGAATTTTGTTGACCGTAAGATCACATTCGTGTAATATACATTACAATTTATAATAATTTCTAAAAAGCCTTGAAAACATAAAGCAAATGTAGTAATCTCATGGACTAATTGGGGAAGCTAAGGTAAAAAATAGTAATCTCAGAAAAATGATTTGCAACTAAAACGGTAATCTATGGAAAATATCTATATTCGTCAAAAATTATATGTTCAATAAATATGATATATTTATATATATGTATGATACAGCCCAAAAGACAATAAGGGATTAAACTTTTTTTAATGTAATTTAGTCTTTTGGAAACAGGTAGAAAAAAAATTATTAATAATGTTTCAACCCTTTAAAACGGTCAATAAATACCAAAAACGTCCTTAAGAGATATTTTATACTGGAATTTAAAAGCTGTTTTTGGAAAAACCTGGCTTGAATCTGAATGAGAAAGGAATGCTTCGACAGTTATCGTGAATATTTTAATACTAAATCGGTTTGGTTTTTTCGTATTATGGCAATTTTTGTTCCCCCTCACGAGGATAAAACGTTCTTCCAAGATTTCCTTTTAGCAATTTTCTTATACACTTCAATACTAGTTAACACCTGGTGTGCTGCTAAATATGCATCGTATGGAAATTAGTTGTATATTGATGGAAACTAAGTTTAGCCCCGCCTCCTTAATAAATTTATAGAACAATGGAATATTTCATCCATGCATCTCCCGAAGGCAATTTTCCGGCCGTTAATAACGCGTTGAATCTAAA